GGGAGGACCCGCAGCCCCGCAGCCCCGCACCGCCAGCGCCCTGGGGAGGGGGACGGCGGTTCCTCCCCCCTTCCCCGCATCCAGGCGGCTCTGAGGGGGACCGGGGAGGGGGTGTCCTCCGCTCGCCGCTCCACCCTCCCGCACGGCACCGCTGCTCGGGCGGTGGGAGCTCAGCCCAGCCCAGCCCGGGGGGTGAGGGGGGCCAGCAGCCACCACATCCACTCGCCCGCCCACCACCCGTCGGTCTCCGCCGGTGGAGCCGCCCGGGGGAAGCGGGGAGGCTGCCCGGCTGGCGGGAGGATGCGTGTGCGGGGATTGCGACCTGCGATCGCGTCGGTGCTTGGATCCCTCCTCCTCCTCCTCCTCCTTCTTCTTCTCCTCCCCGCTCTCCAGCTCACCGCCTGGCAGCGAGGGGCTGGGGAAGTTGCGCTTCCAGGCGAGATGGCTTCGCAGCGGGGATCGCTTTGAGAACAAGGTCTTCCCCCCTCCCTCCCTCGTCTCCCCCCCGTCGCCGCGGCCTCCGAACAGTAAGTGGCAAGGGAGGAAGTAAAGTTGCAAACAACCTGCAGCGGCAGGAACTTTCTGAGCCGCTCCAGCTGTATGTGTTCAAGGTGCCTTTGATGTGCGGGCAGCAGCTTCTGGAAAGTGGACTGCAGCTTTCCCACCCGCCAGCCCTCCCTCTTCCCCCCCCCTTCCCAACCCTTCCCAACCTCCCCTCCCACCGCCGCCACTTCAGCCCACCCACGCAATTTGGTGGAGAAGGAGGGGGGGGGGGAAGAAAAAAAAAAAAAAAAAGGGGGGGGGGAAAAAAAAAAAAAAAAAGGGGGGGGGGAAAAAAAAAAAAAAAAAGAGAGAGAGGAGAAAAAAGAAAAAAGGGATGAAATGAACAAGAAGTGGTGAATTACCCAAGCGAGTTTTTTCTCAAAGAGCGAGCGAGCCGGGAAGAGGAGGAGCGGAGAGCTCCGCGCACCCGGAGCTGCCCGGGAGGGACCCACCGGGCACCCACCGGGCACCCACCGGGGACCCACCGGGGACCGTGGGGGGCTGCGCGGTTGGCGGAGGGTGAATGCATCTCCGCAGCGAGATGCAAAAAGCCTCGTCTGCTCGCCTTTGACTCGCGCTTGCCGGCTCCTCACTAGAATGCAAACCCTCGCACAGGATGAAAACAGGTTTGTTGCAAATTCTCCTGGAAATGTTGCGTTCCCCGCCGCCGCCGCCTTCCTGTTGGAGATGTCAGAGAAGATCTTAATGATGACACGGTGGCAGATCCCTCTGCTGCGTACCCTCCGCTGTTCTTTGGAGATGTTGAGGCAGGGATAAATCTTTTATGCAGCTGTCTTTTCGTATCTGTAGCGGTTGCTGCACAATCTGCACTTGATTGCAGCTAAAATATTCTTTTTAGGATCCGTTTCACAAAATGATGCAAAATAAACACAGATGGGAGAAGTGGGGGAGAGGAAGCTTTAATGAAGTAGTGATGGTGGATTGATCTTCCCTCCTTCCCCCCTTCAGTGACCTCCCCCTCAAATGTGAGCCTTTTCTCAACACAAAATGCTACATTTCTGTTTTAAAGGAGTAAAGATTTTGGGGGCTCTTTGCCTGTGGTTTTGGAGGGAGACTCCCCTCAGTGGTGCTTGCTTTACTAACTGACTTTTATGAATGTCTGTGGCTACCGAGCCTATCAGCCTGTGTCTTGCCTTCACCTGTTTTAAAGTATGTCTTGTCTCTTCCAACACCTTACAGGTCATTCTTCCAGAATGCCAGAGGAAAGTTCGCCAAAGCGGAGTCCTCAAAACATCCCATACAAGGACCTGCCCCATATCATCAACGCTGATGGGCAGTATCTCTTCTGCAGGTATTGGAAGCCAGTAACAACTCCCAGGTGAGCACTTCCAAGCAAACGTTCTTTTTTACTATTAGTAAATAAGACTCTATTTGTGTAATTATTATTTATAGCTTGACTGGCATTGCAAGGCTGTGTGCGTGGAGCTTTACAGAGCCACTATGGGAGATTTCTGTCATCTGAGAGAGCCCTTACTGTAAAGACTGTGTTCTCCAAACCTTTACTCGCTCAGGTCAGCCTTACAGATGTAAAACGTGCAGTTACTGTCATTTCATGCACAGCTGGCTCGGTTGGCAGTTCAGTGTGCTACCGAGTGGCACATGCAGGTGGCTGATGCCTATCAGCAATAAACAACTATCTTCAAACTAATAGCACCGGCAGTCAGGGAGGGGTGGGATACAGTCATTGGGATGTCTACCCTTTCCAATCTTGTCAACAAATTAAACATCAGCATCTGACTTCAGTTTCAACAGTCGTAGCCGAAAACTCAGGGCAACAGGCAGAATATGACTTGGCTGCATTGCTTTTTGACTGTTGCTTGTGTGTTTTTTTTTAAATTATTTACAGTTAGTAAATGATTTAAAGAGCTCTTTCACTGGCAACTGTGATTTCAAAACTGACCTCAGTAAGAAACACAGACAAGGAGCCAGATAGAGAAATTTCTCTAATGCTTTTGTCATAATTTAAATAATCCCTCTACTGTAATAGCTGATTGTGTGCTGACTAGGATCTGCTATAGAAAGCTGTCTCTGTTCCTTCCACAGTTATGCTCTTTCTTCTTCCTCCCAGTGTCTGCTGGCTTGGCATGTGTTTATGCTACCACTCGTTAAGATACGTAGCTACTTCATAAAAATCTGGATATTGTTTTATTGTTTTATTTTTCTGCAAGCCAACAGGAAAAGCTGTGTTGATTTTATGCGGCTGGAAAGCAATCACAGGAAAAAGTTGTTCAAGCTGTCGTAGGGAGTTAAACTTGTTCCTTGACCACCCAACAGGTTAGACATCATCCCAAATGCCTGCAACTGCGCTGAGAGATGGATACGGGTCCAAGTTAGCTGGCCTTGGGTTTTATGCCTGCCAGTCTAAGGGATAATGTGAATGACATAGCACTGGGAGGTGGCCAAGCACCAAAGATCACTGGCCCCAGAAGGGAGGACAGTGCAGCCACCCCACTGTAGCTCCATTGCACTGGTTGGGCTGTAGGACATAGATCTTGGTTTAAGATCACCTGGTCCACAGAGCATTTTATAGTTACTTCTACTCACAAGAAGGAGAGGTTTTGGCACTGATGCTTTACATAGTCTGCACCAACCTGAAGATTTCCTCTACAGAAAAAAAAAATGCTATCAAAACAAGCTTCTACTATGAAACCAGGCTGTCTTGTATTATAATGCTAATTAATCATTAACTGTCCACAAGGTTCTTCACCAAGTTGTGGAAAGGCTTTCTTTTTTTCATGTTTAATGTCTTAGCAAATTAGTAGTGAGTGGATGAGTCTTTGATCCAGAAATGAAAGGATGATAAAGAGCTGAGAGTTAAAACTTGGTGTCTAAGTCCTCTGGGTAGTTAATTTTTTTAGGGCTCTGTGCACCAAGCAGTTAATTGAGAGCGAGCTTGCCCTAGTTTTGTGACAACAAAAGTGGATGGGATCAGCGTTGCTCATTTACAAGTGGTTCCTATGTGTGCCTGTGTGTTTTTGCATTTTTGCATTTGCGTGTTTGTGTATAAGGAGGGGCGTGCTGTTTATTCTTAGCTCTTTTTGCATTGTTATGTATGAGAGAGATGGTAAGTGACTGAATAACAAGTTAGTGCCTGGATCCTACAGTCAAGAATGCTCTTGAAGTCCTTTGATAGGCAAACCAAAAATACTTTTTTTTTTTTTTCTCCCTCTCACTTTTCATAAGTAGCTTGGCTTTTTCTGCTTCATATGTAGAAGCTCAGCAACTTTCATCTAATTTTAAATGTTCAGCAAAAGTGATCTATATATATATGTGTATAGGGAGAGAAAGAGAGACACCTCAGGGGACTTTTTCAGGCCTGTTAAAATTTATTCTATTTCAGATACTGGAGGTGATTCTTTCAATCTAACTCAATTGTTGACTTAGGTTCAAATCTTAACGCTAATGAATGACGCTATAACCGTCAAGCGGTGGGATCTTTCATTGATCCATTATGCATCTAATCCCAGCTAGAGCTATAGAAATACCTCTTCACTGCAGATGCCCAAAGGTTATCATTGACTTGTCTTCTATTAGAATAGAACTTATCATCCTTGATCCCTCCCCCAGGGAGGGGAAAAAATGGGATATCTGCCAAAGGAAAAATTAAAAAGTAGCCCTAGCCTGGGGTTGAGGAGCAAACAATGGCTGGGCACTCTCTGAGAGTGGGGCCAACTGGCAGACATCACCCCTCAGAGCTGGTGCTTCTCTTTTATCTCCTCAAACAGACCCGCAAAGGTGGATAAAGGCTGTGGCAAACTGATGTGCTGTAGCACATTTTTTTAAAAAAACGATTTGTCTGGAAGATGGGGTGATTTTGTGAGGCTCTTTTGCTTCATGCTCACAAATAACCAGGCTCTGATGCTGTGTGGTGTTGATCTGACTGATCAGCCCATACTGGTGCACATATGGAAGCTTTGTTATAAGTGCCACCGAGGCCAAGGTTGTCCTGCGACTGAAAGGCACCTATTGTGAGCTCCTCAGCAGGGTCTGCTTTGTTTCCAAGGGGGATTTAGGTGATTACTTCACAGGAAGCTGACACACAAAGGCACTCAGATGTCATAATGATTAGATGGGGTAGATAGAGTAGGTAGTAACGGGACTAAGGAAGGAAGACTGTGTTTTCCACTTGTTTTTCGGGTGGGAAGTCACTCCCAAGAGGAGGGCTGGGGACTGGGTGTCTTCTATTGCTGTCTGCAGGCAGCAATGCAGGTGCAACTTCCCTGGCGGCAGCACTGCAAGCTGCCCAACTTGTTGAGCCAGTTTAATCTTAAGATGTAATTAAGTGGTCTTGCTGATTGCAGCAGGGAAGAAAAAGAAGTATGTTTTGGTGTCATTTTCATGTGTCGTGCCAACAACAGGATTTATGGAGCATGAAAACAGGTAACTCTTTGGCACTGAGTGCTCACTACTGAGGGCAAAGGTTAAGATCTGGGCAAGGCAGGGTATTTTCAGGACCACGTAATATTGCTTGGAGGAAGTAAATAGTTGGTACCAAAGAAGATTGATCCTGTGCCTATAGCACATCCCAGTAGCCAAGGAAATCCTACTAAATGGGAAAGCAGTCTTTGTGTAAACAAAAACAATGGCCATGCAAGGTTAAAACCTCTGCCACCACCCTGAGCAGTCTGAGTCAAAATATGAGGTAAAGGAGGTGAGGAATTACGAAACTGTGCTCTGTTCCCAGCTCTCAGACAAAGCTGCTAAGAATAGAGGTGGGATGAGGAAGGGGAAGGAAAGTTGGGAGGAGAAGTCAAGACATTTCCTTTGAGGCCCCTAAAGGGCCTGGAGAGATTCAGAGATGACCTTCTTTTCCTCTCTGGTCTGTGTCCCCATAATCTTTTCTGGATGCTTCAGCTGTTTGTCAGTGCCTAGATAAGCACAGTTTGCTCTGGGGCACTTGCAGCCCCTCTGCTTGACCTCAAATAAACCCTGTGAGATTTATTGACCTGGAGTAGTTTTTTCAAAGGTGCTAATAGCCTGCTGCCACCATTGACTTCAGATAGAGAAAGTGATGCTCAGTTCTCTCCCTGTAGACTGGCCACTCTAGGTTGAACACTTGAAGACTGAGACACTTGTAGTTAGATGATGATGCTTTTGAAAATGTGGGTTCCAGACATCTTTGTGTCTGAGCTTCCTCATCTATCAAACAGAAGTCATTAGCTGGCTAGTTAGCCAGATAATAAGTGTAGCGTTTGATGCTACACTGAAACAGGTTGGCTCATCTTCAGACATCGTGACCATGGATTAAGTAAACAGAGTTGCTGTTGTCTGAGTAAACAGTGTCTTTGTAGGAGTTCCTTCAGTTCTACACCTGACAAGTGTGATTAAAAATACAAAATTGAACAAACAAAAAGCACCTGCTTTTCTATTTACTTTTAAAATTTGTTTTACTCTTTGGAAAATGCCTGTCATTCATTCTGACTTGTGAAAGTCCTTGGCCAAGCCAATAAGGAGAAAAAATATTTTTCTCTTCCCCAAGGACTTTGCAGAAATACAAACTGCCTTTATATTTCAACTGGCCCTTAAATTGTGAATATTGCTTGCTGATTTTGGCACCTCATTACCAGCATTTCCATGGCATTTCCAGAAGAACAGCACAGCTCCCAGCATGAGCAGATGACAAAGTTGAATTTGACTTTCAGACCCATCCAAAATGAATACATAAATAAATAAATAAACCAAAGTGAAGTCAATGCAAAGGGAATCAAGTCACTAATTATAATGTCTTTAATTATACTGTATGGTGTTAGTCTCTAGAAATACTTTAAGGAATTTCTAATCCAGTGTCACTCTGGAAGCACACTTTTGTTTGTACTAACGAGGTCAACTTCAAACTAAGGCACAAGGGCCAAATGTGTATTGTGCAAAGTGAATTATGTCAGCACAGTTTGTCATAGGACGAATTCAGCTCCCTCTGTGTCTGATCCCATCATAAACAGTGCACAGCGGAAATAACAATTATCATTGTCGAATCAACACCTCAGGCTTCGCTTGCTGTATTGTTATTGCTCGAGTTTCTAAAGCCTCCCTTCTATTCATCAGCCATGTATGTGTTCCTTTAATGCCTGTGTTCTCTTTGCTCCATGTCACTGTCTTATTCACTGTGAATGGGGGCATCCTTTTATGATTTCTTATGCATTTCCAGAGAATGGGCAAATTAGCAAACCAGCTTCACGTAAGAGGGACTCTGACAGAAAGGAGAGCAGCTTTGGTTCTTGCTGTAGATCTTTCCAACAGGCTTTTTTAGTAGGATAAATTTTTTCAGTCCCCACAGGAATGTTCAACAGAAGCAAATCTGCCTTTTATTCCACAGAACCC